TTTTTTTTAATTTTTAAAATAAAATAATTAAAAAAAATAAAAGTAGTCACAGAGAAAGAAGTAAAAGATAGCTATGAAATGATCAAAGGGTTGGGCCATAATGCAGGCTTTTTATTTTTTTCTCTCTTGGAAGAGAAACATAGCATATCTAAAAAATTATTCCCAAGCCTGGAACAACTGGGAATATAGCAGGATTCACTTAACATCTGTGGAGAGCCTTCTACATGCCAGATTCTAGGGAAGGTGCAGACAGTATATAAAATAGAAGTTATGCATAGTTTCTAGATGCTGAAATCTCAGCTAAATGAGATCCTTACTAACCAAACAAGTAATCATTCACATAGAAACTTCTCACATACATTTTTTGTCCATTTATAGCAAAATGAATTCCGTATATTCTAGTGTCAAGTCATGGAATCTGCCAGTGTGGCGTGTAGCCGCTTTCTTCAGCAATGTGGGCATTTTGGAACAAAACCATTCTACTGAAAAACACATATTTGGAAAATAAACTTAAGAGTCTAAGACATCTTACGAGAAATAGAATCACTTTTTCCCCCGAGAGGAAGTTTGTACAACACATACATTTATGGGCCTAACCATCTGGGCCTGAGTCTTATTTCTTCTCTCACCAGCCAACTCTGTAGCCTTTAGCAAGTCACTTAACATCTGAATATGTCCCTTCATTTTCAACTGAGCAGTATTATGATTACCACTAAAAACTATTCCAAACAACTTGGCATATTTTAATGTAGCAGTGAGCTTATTTTTATGCTAGGCTTTTCCTGTTTTAATTTATTTTTTTCTAATTTTAGACATGCATGTTTAAGAGTCGATGTTGGGTGGTGATGGCTCTGCCAGAGAAAACACAAATTGTTTCTATTTTTATAAGTAAATAGTGCAAAGTGTTTTAAAAACACGACTCCGTTAACCCTCCTAAATGCCCCCGTTAACCATTTCAAATGGGGAAACTGAGGTATAAACTTGTTAAATGTGTCATCATTGAGTGATCTACACAAAGTCCTACAGCAGTGGTTCTCAACCTTCTGGCCCTTTAAATACAGTTCCTCATGTTGTGACCCAACCATAAAATTATTTTCGTTGCTACTTCATAACTGTCATGTTGCCACTGTTATGCATCGTAATGTAAATATCTGATATGCAAGATGGTCTTAGGCGACCCCTGTGAAAGGGTCGTTCGAACGCCAAAGGGGTCGCAACCCACAGGTTGAGAACCGCTGTCCTATATCAAGGCAGTGAGAGAAAGGGGAGAGCCTAGGATGAGACCTCACTCCTGAGCCTTCGTGATGCAGCATAAGCTCCACCCACGTGTGATTCTTACCAGTGAGTGCCAGGCACGGCCTGAGGGGCCCGGAGCATCCTGCTGATAATCTGCAGCTAAGCTCTCTGCAGCTCCGGACTCCGCTGCCTCCTGGCTGTGCAGGGAACTGGAGCTGTTTTTAGCTCTGCTCGTGTTTGGCGTTCACTTCCCTCAGACGTGGCATATGAGCGCGTTATCAGTTTACTCGATATTTTAAGATGCATATCAGCCTTGTGTACTAGCACTTGACAGAGATAATAAACACCTCCCACACCTCACTCCCAGGCCACGCCCTACATCCGAGTAATCTGTGGAGGTAGAGGAGGAGGATAAATAGGGAAACTCAAGGAATCAGAGAGAGGAAACGTGGACCCAAATAATCAACACACCAAGTATTGTAACCAGGGCTGGAGGTAGAGAGGGGAAGGTAACCAGTGACAGGAATGTGAGGACCCGCATGCGAGGCTGACCGGTCCAGTCATCCGCCCTGGTTAGGACTCTGCCTACGGAAGGGTCAGCAGGTCTGCGGACTATGTCACCAGCTGTTTACTCTTTACAGTCTCTCCTCCACTTGCTCAGGCACCATTGTGGTGTCGGTGAACCCTCATAAGTCCTCTCTAGGTTCTCCTGCCCCTGGTCCTGAACACACCACATTGTCAAGCTCCCGTCCATCCACCCGGCCATGCCTCTGGCATGAGCACCAGCCCCCTCACTGGGTGTCTCCTCAGCACCACTCACTGGACGATTCAGCTTTCCCTGACATTGTGCTGTTGCCTTTTTCTTCAGTAATGATGAAGATGTTCAGTCCTGTGGTTGGTCGATTTTCAGATGTAGGCATATATATATATTTATCTTTATGTATTTAGAAAGCATATGGAAAGCTGACTTACACATGTATCACCTGACCAGAATTAGTTATTGAGTTAAAGATTCTCATTAGCAAAATTTTCAATCAAAACAGTTTTTAAAATATAATCATGTAGACAGACTGAGTCTGGGAGCCAATAGTGTAACTGTGGGAAGGAATCATTGTAGAGAGTGTTATCCAGAATGCCTAGATTAGAAATTGTTGAAATAAAGATTTCTAAAATATGCCATATTTTAAATATTTAAATCATTTTAATAATATTTAATTGCTAAATGAATATGATTTAATGTCTAAATTGCCATATTAGCAATTACGGTGATTCTAATATTAGTGTCATTGAATTTGGATTTACTATTGGGAGAAAAGTATATCACTGTTAGTAAAAAACTATATTTAAATTTTAAATTTTTCATTAGTTGATACCAAAATATGGCTCATAAAATGACTTTCATTTCAGAGAACATTGACTTATACCATTGTAAAGTGTTAGGATGATTAAGCCAATGTTACATAAAGGCAAAGAGCAGCAGATAACTGGTTGATTGGGAGGGAGAAATTACAGATATCGTAAGGAAATAGAGTAAAAAATAAATCTCAGGTTGTATCATCAGATTGTAACTTTATTGAGAATTTCCTCTTTTGTTGCATAAATCCTTGAGTTGAATTTACCTTATGATAGGATTTTAGGTTTATTGCCATATATATTAAACCTTTCCTAGCCATCTCACTAGATCATTGGTTTATTGCAAAGTGTTATGCATTTATGACACATTAAAAATCCAAATATTTTAACAAGAAGTAGAAGACAGCAAAGTGTTTTCACATACATGTGTATGTCTGATTGGCTCTGCTCAGTTTTTGGCATAGGTGGGGTATTTGTAAATAATCATCTTCATCCTTATATTTGTTGTGATTAAACAATGAAGCGCATCTGTAGTGGTCATCACGAGATAATCATCTCTGGCGTAGTTCACAGGCCTGGGACACAGCCAAGTACCTCCAATGCCTTAGGCCAGTTTGGCAAACTGCGGCTCGCGAGCCACATGCAGCTCTTCGGCCCCTTGAGTGTGGCTCTTCCACAAAATACCACGTGCGGGCGCGCATGTACAGTGTGATTGAAACTTCATGGCCCATGTGCAGAAGTCGGTATTTTGTGGAAGAGCCACACTCAAGGCGCCAAAGAGCTGTATGTGGCTCGCAAGCCACAGTTTGCCGACCACTGCCTTAGGCTGTGATTATATTATGACTAGAGGCCTGATGCACGAAGATCCATGCAAGAATAGGTCTTCCTTCCCCTGGCTGCTGGCACCACCTTCGCTTCGGCCCGGAGCCGCCTTCCGCCTTTGCATGCTGCCCAGAGGCCCGCAGCAGCCAGGGCGGGGTGGAACGCCTGCATCATCGCCATGGCGACGACGCAAGCTTCCTGGTCCGGCTGCCGCCATCTTTGTCGCGTCAATTTGCATATTCCCTCCTTATTGGCTGTGGGCGCTGCCATCTTTGTCGTGAAGTGATGGTCAATTTGCATATTCTGTCTTTATTAGATAGGATGAGTGTCCCCTGCAGGTTGCCTGATTTCCATTGTAAAATGTGTACTTCTTAATAATAAGACTTTCTTTAAACTGAACTTTTCTCTTTATGAAATATATAATAGTCGTATTTTTGAATAGTCAATAAAGTTTACATGTAGTTCATTAGTTGCTGAATTTTTTCCTGTATTTCATTTCTCTCTACACTGTATCTACATCAATATCCCATACCTAATGATATAAAAAATTAAGTGGTAATCCAGGGTCTTATCAAATACTTAGAAATTTATAAGATTAAAATTCAACAGAAAAAAAAAATCATGCTAAAGAGTGGCTGAATTCTCTGGCATTTCCGTTAGACACTTTTGCTCTCCAAATATAGACATTGCCTATTTCCTAATAGCTTTTAGTACTGTAGCATGTTTTCTTTTTCCCACCAAGCCCGATGGGCCATGTGTCAGAAACACAGTATTAAATAATATTGGTAATATTTGTTGCTATCTCTTTTTAGTATTGCTTGTCTGATCACTTTGCTGGAATTGCCTGATCAATTTAGAAGGCTCCTTTTCAATCTGAATCAAACGACTGGCTGGCTGGCTTGGCATTGCTTTTGTGTGCCTTTGAATGATTCCCTTGCAAGGTCAAAGACGATGGGAGGCAATGAGGATCGCTGAAAGGAAGACAGGCGCTTCCTACTGTCAATGATGATTTCTGTTCAAGAAGTCAGAGCTGTGCAGACCCGGGTGCTAACCACAGGCGTCCCTCTGTGTCTCCCCAGTGCAACAGCGACTACGTGCCGGTGTGCGGCTCCAACGGGGAGAGCTACCAGAACGAGTGCTACCTGCGCCAGGCGGCCTGCAAGCAGCAGAGCGAGATACTCGTGGCGGCGGAGGGCTCGTGCGCCACCGGTATGTCTGTGACCCTGACGACTCCCTGAACCCGCTGGATGGATTCCCAGCCCCAAAACCATGTCTTGCTTTTTTTTTTTTTTGGTTATCTTCAGATAATAATTCAGACTATGTATTGGCTAGACAAGCCTCTATTCCTTTGTGCAAAGCGTACCTTATTCTTAGTCTATGTCTTTTTGCATTTCAGATCATTTCTGGAAGAGAAAATCTACCATGAGGGTGTTGGTAGATTTTTTATTTGTTTAAATTGGTCTTTTTGTTGAAAGTATTACAGCTGGCCCCCTTTCCTTCCTCATTGAGCCCCTACACCCCACTCCCGCCTCCTCTCCAGGCCTTCCCCACACTGTGATATTGGTAGGTTTCATACATATGTTATTTAATGAAGTGCAGACAGTTGACTAATATTATTAGAAATCTAGATTGAGCACCCAGGTCTCAAATATACAGACACCTCTCTATGCATGGATGCATTTGTATGTTTTGAGTAATAGCATCGTCTGCTGGATTCGGGCTTGGAAGGCAAGATGATGCTAAGGTTAGCAGCTCTGCAAAATGCCCTCCAGCCGTTTAGTAGATTATTGTGAAGACTGTATTGGTGGTGGACGTTGTTTCTGATGACACCTGTCCTTCCTGACACAGGCAGCCTGGGACTCCACAGCGCTCCGAGTTAGAGTGTGAAAAGTACTCTGTACAGAAAGTGAGGGAAAGAATAACTTATAAAGTCACAGATAATGCTCTTTAGCTTGTCAGGTTTCCCTTTTGTGTACAGTGGCTCTCAGAGCTGAGCAGCATCGCAGGCAGGGAAAACGCCCAACCCAATGAGCAGAGCCTGACTCTCGAAAGCAGTGCTTTACAATGAAGCCGAGTTTTCACAGTAGCTGTGAGACATTGAAATCACACGCGTTAAAGAAACCTTTGTGTCCTGTGATAGTTGTCCTTAATGGCAAGTATGCATCTTTCTGGAAAGTCAACATTTCTGAGGACAATAGAGGCATGGCCAGGAAAATATAATATTGCTATAAAATATGAACTTCCTTCAATGCAATTAGGGAATAGTGCCAGGAGACGTCTGTTGTATTGAAAATACCTCTTGGGTAACAGGTATTTCTATTCCAGGGAATTGTGTTAACAGTTCTGTGCGTGCTGGCTGGGGCAGGGTGGTAAATGAGAAAAAAGACGATCTCATATTCTTGAAAAGGTTATCTTAAGCCTATCGTCGATGGATTGTTAGTAATTGGTAATGTTCTGATATTGTGCTGGTGACGACCACAGTTTCTAAGAATTAGCAGAAGAGAAAAGCATCCGTCATCATGGACAGCAATGCAGGCTTTCCGGTTTGGGTTTTAGTTTTTAAGTAGTTTTTTCTCCTACGGGATTCTTTGCCTCACGATATGGATGTCCTTTTGGAAAGGTGACTGGGGGGTTGGGGGGGAGGAGCTGGACTGGTTGGTGCTCCACTCACTTCTTATTTGCCAGAGCAAACCGATCGTTGCTACTCCACCTGTGAGTGAAAGTGACAGCAAGAAGTGAGAGCTATAGGACCTTCCCCAGTAGGAGAGGAGGAGGACCAATATGCTACTCTCAGAGCGGGGCTGGGGGAACTAGAAAGGAAGGCACAGAGCAAACAAGTTATGAAAAATCAATCCATCTACCATATCTCATGAAGAAAAAGTGAAAAATAGGACTTAGGGCAAATGGAATAGAAGAAAAAAAGAAGAAGTAACTGCTGACTCCCAGAAGCCAAGAACCAGCAACAACTAAGGGAGAGATTAGTCAAATACCAGCAAGGACTAAGGGAGGGATTTGCTTATTCGGGATCATATAGGACAGCTGTCTCTGACAGTAGCCAAGTGGTAATCAGTGGACAATACCCCTAATAAGCATTCATGAAGCTGTGATTATGACTAACAACGTTTGGTAACAAAATCTCTCTTACCTGCCAGCCTCTAAGTTCTTGTCAGCGTATGCAGTTGCATCCATCTGATTCATTCAAATCTCCCCATTCTGGTCCCTTCTGCGTTGGTTATACTATGAAAATAAATACTGAACCACGGAGAAAACTTAATCACAATTGATAATCCATCCATAGCTCATTCATAGACTTAGGTTTCTCCAGGATTTCATTGGTAAGCCAGGATTGCTGAATGCCTCCTCTGTACATCTAAAAGGGTTTTGATCTGAATAATGATGGAGGGACCAAAGTAACTTTGATTAACCAGGTCTGACTCGAAATAAATTGGGATTCTGACTTTGGGTCTAAAGGAGATCCTTACTCTTTTCTTTGTAAATTTTCCATTTATTTTCTAATGCTGTTTGACACTGAGTGGAGGTGGCAAGATGTGATCTCTAGGAATAAAAGGCAGTAAAGGATGTAGCTGTATCTTTATCACACAGGGGTGGTGGGCAAAAGTAGGCTTACAGTCACGAGTCTGCGATACACCATTAATAAAGCTAATGTAATAAACATAACGTGCATGTCTTTTTCCAGATGAACAGCTGTAAACCTACTTTTGCCCACCCCATATTTCATTGAACATTAACATAATTTTTGGTCCAGAAAATGGTTTTCTGTTGGGCAGCCTGGTCAACAGCCTCACTGTCTATTTCACTTTCTTGCCTTATAAGAAATGCATTGACTAGGAGCCCAGATTCAAGTCCAACCACATGACTTTTTTTTCTTAGGTGTTTCTGTCTCACTAATAAGGTTTTAGTGGCTACTTCTCTCTCGTTTGCCAAAATGACTCATCTTACAGTAATCATAAAGCTTTCCGTCACCAGTGCATAATGATGCCATGAACTTCAGTGACTATTTTTAAAATCTGTTGTTCCTTTCTTTCCTAAATACTCAATATGGGGCAATTAAGATGCAAATTACCTTATGAACCAAACTGCATGAATTTGTTTTTGAAACATACATGGGAAATACAAGCCGAAATTCTACTGCTATTTTCTTGATTTCCCCCAGCAATGTGTATTTATAAGGAAACCTATAGATGAATAGGCAACATGTTTACTCAAAGATCTAATCTAATTATTATCAGATGCAGTGTTAAGCATTTTAAATATGATATTGTGTAGCCAGTCTCAAAATAGCCCAATGGGATGCACATTGCTATAGCCAGAGGATGAATAAGCTTAGGAAGGTTGAATAACATTCCTTATGTCATCCAGTGAGTAATATTCTAATGTTTGGAGCTTGGAATCCTTCAGCTTTCACACATTTCCTCTTATATTCATGTAAGGATGGAAAACTAAACAAGATATGGGCCTTGAGTTAAAGAAGCTTATGGTCTAGTGCGGTGGTTCTCAACCTGTGAGTCGCCAACCTGTGGGTCGCGACCCCTTTGGGGGTTGAATGACCCTTTCACAGGGGTCGCCTAAGACCATCGGAAAACACATATATAATTACATATTGTTTTTGTGATTAATCACTATGCTTTCATTATGTTCAATGTGTAACAATGAAAATACATACTGCATATCAGATATTTACATGACGATTCATAACAGTAGCAAAATTACAGTTATGAAGTAGCAACGAAAATAATTTTATGGTTGGGGGTCACCACAACATGAGGAACTATATTAAAGGGTCGCGGCACTAGGAAAGTTGAGAACCACTGGTCTAGTGGGAAAAGAATAAGAAACTATACACATTCAACTAAAGCACAGGTAGAATGTATTAGTGCTATAATCATATAACCTGTTGTTAGCCCCTGATTATTGTAAATAATACTGAAGTAAGGTTTCGATTCATTCCAATAAAATCAGTTAAAATTTTACTTGGGAAGGTATACAAAAAGGAGATTTGATAAGCATTGGTCATTTAAGCACTGTCCTGTCCAAAAGTGATGGTGCCATGGCTTATGATTATCAGTTAAGTTGACAGGACTGTTCTACTCTGGAGACGAATGCATCAGCCTTTTTTGATCTGTTGCAATTAAATAGTCAGATTATATGATTACCCAAAGAACTTGTATGCATATAGGCATAACCCATATACACAATAGTGTGGTGAAGGCCTGGAGGTGGGGGGAGTGGGGTGGAGAGGGCCAATGGGAGGAAAAAAGGGGACATCTGTAATACTTTCATCAATAAAGATGAAATTTTTAAAAATCCTTATTTTCTATACTTACTACAAAGGGTTTTTATTCTAAACTAGAGGCCCAGTGCACGAAATTCATGCACAGAGGGGGGGGGGTGTCCCCCAGCCCGGCCTGCATCCTCTTGCAATCTGGGACCCCTCGGGGGATGTCTGACTGCCGGTTTATGCCCGATCCCACAGGAACCCTTGCGGGATCGGGCATAAACTGGCAGTTGGACATCCCTCTTGCAATCCGGGACTGCTGGCTCTTAACCGCTCATCTGCCTGCCTGCCTGATCGCCCCTAACCCTCTGCCTGCCTGCCTGATCACCCCTAACCACTCGCCTGCCTGCCTGATCGCCCCTAACCCCTCTGCCTGCCTGCCTGCCTGATCACTCCTAACCGCCTCTGCCTTGGCCCCCGCCCGCCGTGGTGGCTGCCTCTCCCTTGGCCCCTGCCTCTGCAGCTTCATCCGGAAGGTCGTCCGGAATGATGTCCTGAAGGTCATTCGGCTGTCCAGTCTAATTAGCATATTACATTTTTGTTATTATAGATTGTTTTGCCAACTAGCTTATCTTTCAGGAAAGGATATGATGGTCCAGAAACATGAGCCTTAGTCATGTTAGCAGTTAATTAAAGATGACATTTTTATACAGTTAGATCCTGTGAATTTCATTAATATGAGTTTCCACCAAGGCTGGCAATTCCAACTACCGTTCCTTCATGGCTGACTAATGCCTAACATGCCAAGGAAGGCTATTGACGAGGCATCCATTCTTCCATTTGTGTTGGTCTTCTGTGGATTTTCATACACTATGCTTCTTTCTATGCAGTGCCTCTCAATAAAGTGTCATGGTGGCAAGTTTTACTTTCATTGGAATAAAACATCAACCACAAATTTACAGAAGTGACATTTGATATAGTTCTTAAACTCTGGTTAAGATTTCAATGTGAGATGAGGGCATACCAGGCAGAGAATACCAGTACTAGTCTTATTTCCCAGTATTAATATCAAAGGTACATAACCTAATGTATTTAAGTGAGAAAGAAGTATGGAGGTAGAAGGAAGGCAATGTCTATTCACTTAACAGGTGGGAGCAGATGGAATCTCAATGCTGTTGACTCCAACTAGAAAATTGGGTGCTTCTGGGAACTGTCAGAAATAGACAACTCTGACCAGTTGTACTTATGTAGGAGGGAGGGGAGAGAAGGAATGGAGAAAGAAAAATGCAGAAGAGAGATTGTTTTTTAATGCGAGCACTACCCAGGGTGTATTCAGTTTTAAGCACAAACACAAAGTTAGTTAATCTCACTCTTCTACTGATTTCAAAGACAAGGAATGCTCTTGGTGGCTGATAGACTCATTCACAATTGTGGTATTTGGAATACATATTAACATTTATATAAAAAGAGATTTATTTTTAAACCGTTTTTCTCTTTGTGCATATGCAATTTTCAAGAATATAAAGCTTAATTACGTGTTTATTTGCTACATGTCTTAGACTGTTTAAATTCTAAATCTCACTGATTGTTATAAGCATCTCATTTTCAAATTTTTTGTTTTTGTTAATGGCACCAGATTTATCCTGATCAAAATTAAAATGAGAGATTTTACATGGTCAAGTTTAGGAATTATTTTAAAAGCAGATAATGCTTTTTAAATAAAATTTAAGTATGAATGTAATAGAGAATTTATTTTATAAGTTATGCTATAGAAATTAAATTGATGTGAATACACATTTTCAGATTAAATAATAGTAATTGTCTCAATTATATTACTGTCTTAGTGAAGAAAGTAAACATGAACTAAAAAATGTCATAAATAGTTTTAAATATGTTTTTCAAGCAAAAATAAAATATTTCTTTTTTCCTCCCAGATGCAGGATCCGGATCTGGAGATGGAGGTAGGAGTTGCCTTTTTACATATTTGAAGACTTTCATGTGAATATTACTTGTGGTTGTTTACTTATATATTTGCTATTATAAATATTTGAAAGGAATTTACAAGTTGCATTTTAGGAAAGGAGAAAACAAAAATATATCATTATCCTTAATAAGTAAATGTATGTACTATGCAAATTATTTGATACATTTATGAATTATACTTAAGAATTCTGTCTCCGTCTAATCTTCATTGTTTACTTATTTGTTTGTGTCTGAGTTATAAATGCATGTCAAAACTTCCTAACAGAAGATTTCAAGCATATTTGTCAAGGCAAAAAGAACTCATGAAAAAATAATTTAAATAATTGTTTTTTATAATATTGATATTAATTACCAGGTATTAATATTAACACATACATAACTATATTGTAAACAGGTTCTACATTATCAGATTAATAATTTGAAACTGGAGGAAGTTGAGCTCCTGAAAGGAAAGTAAAAGAATATAAACACAATTTAGACCAATGAAAATGGGATAGTATCTTTACTTTGATTAAATCTATATTTATTTTTACTAAAATAAGGTACTTAGATGTTTTCATTATTTAATTGTATGTTTGAGGATGTGTATAAGGTAAGAGAGAGCCAGAAACTTTAAAAATTTGATCTCAAGTACTTACCGACAAGATTTTATGTATGGATTGAACCTTCATTGTAAATTTCCCAAAATGCTTTTCAAATGAAATTAGGCAAAAATTACAGCTTTATGCCCAATAAGGAAAAAAAACCACACACACAAAACTAGATATAATTTCAACAGGAACAGTAAGAAAAGAATGAATAAAAACATAAATATTCTCAAGGCTTTGCTTACGGAGTATAAACTGATTAAATATATGATTCCAAGTTAATTTTGGTCTTTAAATGTGGAGTTTGATAATGTAGAGAAAAGAGGGCTGTGAGTTCAGGAAACTCTACTGCATACCTTATCTAGTTCAGGCAGTGCATTACAAATGATCAAGTAGCCTTATGTAATGAAAGGCTTAAATAGTTCAAATAAGCAATACCCAGAGAACACAATTAGAGCAGTATATTAGAGCACATTTTTTTTTCCAGGAAGACTAAAACGAAACAGGATTTAAGACTTAGTACCATGACAGCATAAAATATATTAATATTACATGGCATTGGACAGTCATTTGATGTACGGATAAGGCTACTTCTAAGAAATTTTGTCTCCCCCTCCTCCTCCTCTGGCTGATGAATATAGTATTTCTAAGAAAGTTTCCCTAGCAGTTTGAAGCGCTTAGAAGAGCAAATTGTATCTTAAAGAAATAGAAAAAGAAAGAAGATAGTTCCTTGAGTAGGTGTTTCACTATTAGAATGTTAAGCAGTGAATCAATTTTAAAAGTATTGCTTTTGTAAAGAAATAGTTTCTGTGAAAAATTCTGCTTAGTTCCAAGCTATTTAGTCTTATGTGTAGACTAATTTTGCAGATATTGTGTTGAGCTTCAACTGTTCCACTTTTCACAAAACAAGTCTTGGTAATTATTTTAGCATCTTTGAAAACAAAACAGATTACAGAACACAGAATACCTTCATTGCTCTTTCTGTGAAAACAGCATGATATACTTTTTTCTGTTTGACTCTCATATCATATATCATTTTTTAATATTTATCTTTTTAATAATAAGGCATGCTTTATGTTTAGTTCCCAGCTTTCATTCATTGCAGTTAGCATACTAGTGAAAGCGAAGTCAACCTCATTCTTCAATGTTGCATTTTATATTAAAATATTTGACTCATGATGCAGTCCTGTATTCTGAGTACGGTGATTTTGTGTAGAAAAAATTGTTAATCTCATTAATATGATGTGTATAACTTAAACTTATGCACTAATTGGAAACACTTTGCTTTCCTTATTTTCTTCTCTTTTTGTTCTTTTTACTCTTCCTTTCAATTATAGGTGCTTTATCGTCACTTGCGGGGGGAGGGAAGCAACTTCTTAAGCGATAACTGCTAAAAAGAAAAAGATAACTGCTTTAGAACAAAGCATAGAGCCCATTTACTTCTGAATTACATGCTTTTAAAATAGTTGTTCTGAAAATTGTGGCAATGAATATTTACTCCTGGTCACATGAACTAATTTTTAAATAAGAGACTGAAGTTTTATTTTAACTGATTTTTTTTTTTACACTCTGTGTTCCTTTGCTCTGAAATACTAATGGATTTAATTTTCTTTAATTTTTTTACTGCATTACAAGATGCCAAAAAAGCTCAATAACTTGAATCTAGAAATCTAGGTTAGAATAACCTGCAGGATCCCAATTCACATGTACATTGGATGGTGCATGAAGCATGTGTGACTCACTACCTCTGCTGTACAGGATGGGCCTGCCTTTGTATTCTGACGGAGTTCCTATCTCCAAGGTGTTAGAGGAGCCATAATTCGTTTCCTTTGAATTAACTAGAAGTTATTGAATTGGTTAATTTAATCATTGGGTTTGGTTAATCCCACAATCCTCGCTTGTGATTGTTCTAACTGATTTTTATAGGATGTATTCTCAATAATGTGTATTTAATTACTAATTGGGTCATTTTGCAAGCACTTTCAATGGTTAATGGTTATATTTTTAATTTATTTTTAACAAAGTTTCATATAATTCCCAATGGAGTGCATTGATCTGAATACTTAAGTGAACAGATTTATTTACAAAATACTTATATGTGTGACTATCATAAATGATACCATTAAACCTCCAAATCCAAAATCACTTTAAAATACATCAATTTTTACTTCTTTAGATTGTTCTACATTTTTTAAATGAATGAATATTGCATTAGCAATGAAGATTAGATCTGATTAGTTAAAAATAATTTAAGTTGAACTTAATCTCCTCTATAGCACACCTGTCATTTACTGCATTTGAGGAAACCTTTTTACGACAATATAAAAGGGATATAAAGGTTTCATAAAATTTATCTTGTTAGTATATATTTTATAGGAAATTGTAAAATCTTTAACTGTTGATCTGTGTATTCAGAGGAAACTATTTGAAGGGCTAACTTTATTTAGGGAAAACGTTCACCGTGTCTCCAGCATGATCTGCAAATGTGCGTTCATTCATAACGGTCATTGTAGTGCAATAAGAAGCAAATGCTGCGTACACGTCTTGGCCTTTCCCACTCCTGTGATCCCATCCTCTTTGAGTGTTTAAGAAAACTCATCAATACAAAGAGTATTTCTATATTGTTAGTTTTGAACCTAGGATCTGTTGTTTCTGGAATTCTCTTTTCACACAAAAATGTTTACTTGGAAAAAATTCAGGGTAAACTATAACTAACTATATATGTGCGTTCTGTAGAAAGGTAATGTGTGGTAATGTATGGACCACATTTCAGAAATTTCAGAAAGTAGTTGAAAGAAAGGGATTGGTGCTTCATGTACTTATATCCATGGAGATTGAGTGTTGTAAATATGGAAAAGGGTGTGTGTGGGAGGGATAATAACATCTTACCCACCTACAGACTTCCTTAAGTAACAAATACTGCAGTAAGAAAGAAGTATTAAAGGAGCCTCCTCTCAAAATCCATGGGTGTGTGGGTGGTAACAAGATAATTTTTAACCCCTGCTTTTCTCTCAGTCTTCCAGTCATAAGGAAGTGACAATGAATATCTTTCATTACTCCTTTTTTAAAGCTATTTCTGGATGGATTAGACTTTTGATAGATTAGATTCCTAAAAACAAAATATAAGTCCAGTAAAATGAAAACTGTATTTTAACTATTAAAATAATATAAATGCATGGACATAGACAATAGAGTGGTGAAGGCTAGGGAGGGGAGGGTGCAGGGTGGAGGGGGTCAATAGGAAAAAACAAACAAAGGGGACATGTATAATACTTCCAACAATAAAGATAAATTAAAATAAATTATGTAAGTGTGTTGTCCTGCTATAGGTCTGGAGGAATCCACAATTAAATTTTAATGTCAGATGGGAAGTTCTATGATAATGTCTATAGAAATAAAATGTATCCAAGATACATGGCATAGATAAATGAATATATTTTTATTTCATAAGGTAAAATGAAGCATTGGGCTTTATTCTGCAACTTATAAAATTATGTAATTTTAAGACAATTCTTTAATAGAGAAATGTCAGATATGTACAGCGATAGATCAAATTAAATTTATGTCCATTATTTGTAAAAAGAAAGCCTGATTTTTATTTGAATGATCCAGGTAGTTGTTGTTATGGTAACTTTAGTGTAGAAAACCAGTTATGATATGCTTTTATTTAATACAAAAGTGTCCGGTATAATTTTTCTTTAGATGTATTTATTACTCAGATGTCCACAATCAAGACATTTACTTCACATGCATTTTGGATAGAACAAGAAATGTTTACATTGCAACAAATTGTAGACATTAGGCTGCCATTGTTGATTATGTGGATTGCTAAAAACAGTACTTTACGAAATTTGAGAACTTGAAAATCATTTGTTAAAATCTTTATATTTCTAATGTAGATTCGATGCTATTCAGAAATCGAATCGAAATTAACAAGCATAATATATCCTGGGTATTGTGGCAAGATTTTTGGAGCTGTAGAAGTGAATATGACACAGTTCTTTACACTCAAAGAGATTACATGTAAATTTTCTTCTTAGCACACAATGGGAAAATTATTATTCTGACTATAAAAAAAAAGCAATTCCCTGCAGAAGTAAAATGTTAAATATACTGTGAATAACAAAGAACTGTACATATTCATTTCATAAAATATACAAGGCCAGGTAATTCTTTTCCACGTTGCCGTATTCCTTTCCTGACCTCACCTTGTACCTTCTTCGCCTTAACTGTCATGGTCAAGTTCTGGCAAACACAATATGCCTCACCAAGTATCTTCTCCACTGAGTTCACATTACAACCAAAGCCTGATAGGTGTCCATCGGTAGCAGCTTCCGCTGAAAAACTGATCCAGTGAAGAAAATGTATCATGTATGCAAGGCTCGAGGTTC